GAGGTTTGGGATCCTTTTAATGTTGTGGGTTCTCTTTTCTGTTAGTTATGCTTGGTGAATAAACTTGGGTAGATGTAACTATCAGGAAAATGGTCAATGCTCAACAGTTTAAACAGAAATAAACCCTTTTTGTGTTAAATACATTTTTGTAGAGCAGTAGATTTTAGAGAAGCATAATAAAACTAAAAAAATTTTTAATAATCTTAAATTAAAACACAAGTAAAATTTTTCATTTATTAAAAAATCATCATAGTTTTGTTGAGAAAGATTACATTATGAAGGTTAATTTCTTTTTCAGCTTTTGATTTATGTATGGGGCCACCTATTTTACTTTAAATTAAATTTAGATTAATATAATAACTTTTTTGTTGATATTATTATATTTTTTTTTATTATTATTTTTTGAGCATGCAGGAACGGATACAGCAGGGACGGATACAGCAGGGATGGAGCAAAAAACATGTGACTTTGCTGAATGACTAGTCAAGCGAAAATGAGTTTTGGTTGATGGAAGTAGAGATAATAGCTCCTTTGAGCATCAACTATGGTTGCATTTGTAGAAAAGAGGAATAGAAACAACCTTGCAATGATGGGAAACGATGGCTCAGTGATGAGCTTTATGCTCAAGATCAGCTGCAAATTGCTATTTGCTTTTGGTCACAGCAAATAGCAAGTCAGCTGTAGAACAAAAACTGTATTGATTGTTTGACAGTAATTGACTTAAGATTAGATGTTAGTAGTTTTTTATTCAAAGAATCAAAGACCTTGCTAATAATAGAAAGAAAGACCTTGCTCAAAGACCTTGCTGGTAAAAGAAAGAAGACTGATAAGAGAATAGTCGGAGGGTTTAGTTGTTCTTCAGAGCTTCTAATATTTGGTACCACAGATGCCATTTTCCAGCAAAAAGGAATACAAGATTCAGTCAAGCACTTATTAAATAGATTAAAGAAAATTGAAGAGTGAGTTCTGGAGAACACTTTTGTAAGACTATGTTGACTATATAAAACAGGAATGTTGTCTGAGCCACAGGCTATAGAAGAATTTAATTTAGATATGACTTTAGCAACAGAAGCTGAAGTGATTTGAATGTCTGACAATTGGTTAGCCTGTTTAACTAGAATGGTAGAAAAAGTATGGTAATAATTTTCTTTTAATTTGACTTTTGAATAATATTAATGAGTCAAATTAGAAGAAAAGTACTTCGCAAATAGTTCAGTCTTATTCTTGGAGAAGTAATAAGATCAGTCCCATGAATTAGAGAATAATAGAATAGACTTACCTTTGCAGAATATTAATTGTTAACTGTGCAGTTAACATCTGCCCAAGATAAGTATTTTTATTGAAACACCATTTCTAGCCTTTACCCAACCAAGAACCCCAAAGCAGGAGAATTTTAAGTCAGAGTTTATTTCTCTTATTCTTTTCTTAAAAAAAGCAAACCCTGCATGACAGCAGGGCATGGGGCAGGTAGTACTGGGTTACATGATACTAATAGCAAGGTGATTTTGATGATCCTGAACCTGACCTGAAGTAATTAAAATAAGTTACCTCCTGTAAGCAGTATTTTAAAATATTGATGGGGTATTTTGAAAAAGCATTTCAAAAAAATATCTGACAGAATACTAGAGATTAAGGTGATTATAAGTCACTAGTTTATAAGTGAGCTCACACTGCATACCAGATTTAAGAATAACATAAATATAGTAACACTTATGGTTAAGTAATCACTGTGCTAGAGGTTCAGACAGAACACAAACATCCATACAGTAAAATATGAGTGAGTGATCATTGTGCAAGAGGTTCAGACAGAACACAAACATACATGTATACTAAATTACAAGTGAACTAACAAAGTAACTAAGACACCTCCAACTATATTAAAGACAAAATAAATATATAACAGACATATAAGATGGTATATATATATATATATATATATATATATATATATATATATATATATATATATATATATATATATATATATATATACAGAAAGTACACTTCTTTTAGCCTGTGCTTAGGAAACAAATCCTACAAGGCAGCAGAACATGGAACAGGTTTCACTGGACTTCATGTTACCAATAGCAGGGTGATCATGATGACCATACGCCTGACCTGACATATTCACAAAGTGGTCACAATGGTAGCTGTCTTATATTCTAATAATGTATCCAAAATTTTTTACATTTCATATTTAAAAACATTTTTTTTTCTAATCGGATAGAACAATGATATTTTGCTAATGCAATCAAATAAATTACTAATTTATTTTTTTTATTAAAGATATATTAAATATTACTTTATAACTGCTGAACAGAAGTGCAATAATAATCTATAAAGTAAATTTATTGCTTTTTTTATTATTTACAAAAACAAACTTGTTCCTTTTTTTTATTAGATTTTTATACCTTTACACAGTCTAAAAAAAAGTGAACACATCTACCATATTGAAAATATTATATTCATGCTCACAAGTATATTAAGCTGCTTAACTAACATGTAAAGACAGCAAGTGAAAGAAATCAACTTTTTTTTTTACTTTATTTACCTCCCAAAAGTCCCCTCAGCTAACCAGAAATTTTAATACTATTTTTGTTATTACAAATTTTAAACCTATATTTCCAAAACACAAACCCTGAGGTACAACCAGAGAAACAAGCTTAGTGCAATATTACAAGGGAAGAGTTAAACAAGGGACACGACAGGGAAGAGTTAAACAAGGGAGCAGTAAGGATCAAACTTAGTACTTCTTGCTTATGAAGCAAGAACTTTACTACTGCACCATTTTAAATAATAATAAATCACACATTATATAACTCACATATAAATCATAAATTATCAGAAATAAAGCACAAATTAAAATATCACATATAAATCACAAATTAAAATCACATATAAATCAAAAATTATATATTAAATTTAATTCTTTAAATCCTGCAGACCCTGTTTTAGCGCACAAAACTGCTTGAATAAACACAGTCATGATATTACTTACAACTCTTGTAACCATCACATTTAACATGCGTTTATAGTCTGTATAGTAATAATAAATCAACTTTTTTAATTGATTCCTTAATAGTTAGCACAAGCAGATAAACATGACAAATAAAAATTACAAAAATATTCCAAACAAAAAGAGCAACCACACACAATATTAAAAAATAAGTTCTATATAATGTAATAATAATAATTTGTTATGAAAAACAATAAATTATTACTTGATTTTTGTCAATAATCAAACGGTGTATTATAACATAAATGATAAAAAAAAAAAATTAATTTACAAATGGAATAAGTTGTCCCGAGCTACCCTACAAACATGTGTCCGGTACCACACGTTCATTCCTCATAAAAGTATAAAACAAAGTGTTGTTTTTTTACAAATATAGTAAAAAAAATTTATATCATAAATAAATAAAAAGATGAATGTATACAAAAAAATTAGATTAGATTATATGTGAATCAAATTTGATAATACACTGATATTCTGATGGTAGAAAACAATATTTTGCTCTACATTGCTCTATTCTTTAATAATTATAAACTGGATTAAATAGATTTAACTATTGATTAAGAATATTCATTTATTTTGAGAAAACTACTTGTGGATAATGAAAGTACAAACAAAAAGAAATAACTGGCTTCACCATAACTATTTTTTCTTCACAATTAGTAAAAAAAAAAAAACTAACTGTTCCTAAAAAGATTGCTGTATATCTTTTAAATAGTCAAAACATTAAAAGGGAACAAGATTTTGAATGAAATTAAATAAGTGTTGATAAATTGATATATTTTAAGTAAGTACATCAATATATTCAGGAAACATGCTCAGAGTTTTAAAATCAGATTTTATTTTTGTAACTTTGAAAAAAATACAATTTTTTTTTTTATTATTTATAAAAGCAAACATGTTTGTTCTTTTTTATTAGTTTTTTACACCCTTACACTAAGGATATAAAAAGCAAGACTGCCTTTACAACAGGCCTTGTCACATCCCAAGGCCTGTTATCACTTGTCATCACGCTAAGCCTGTTGTAAAGATAGTCTTGCTGCAATTTAAAAATTCACGAAATTAAACACTTATAAATACTGTTTTAAAAAAATTAATGGCATCAAATTAAAATCAAAAAATTTGACCCAAAATTAATGCACCCAATATCATTTTATGTTTCTTTTTTTTTTTTTTTTTATTTGGCACCTCCTCAAACTAAATCAAATTATATTGACAAAATTATAAATTTTGTTCAAAAACTTGTTGTAAAATATTTGCAGGAAATAACAAATTAAAATAAAAAACAAAATAAAAAAACAGGAAATAATCCAAAACTACAAATTTTCAATATAAAGATTTTCTATATACAGATTTTCTTGTTTTAAGTTGTTTTTAGTCATTATGCAACTAATAAACTTTGCTGAAAGTTTTTTTTAGTAAAAGTAACAGTTAAAAGTAACTAAATAAACAATTCTTCAGAAGTTTTGTTTATTATTATCAAGGCTTTAAACTAGCATATCCTATTATAATAAGCATACACAACAATTTCATTATACTAGGTCACCATAACATACAAGTTTACCATACAAGCTATCATAAATGCTTACCCTAACATATTAACTCATTTAAAAATATTTAATGATGAACAATAAAAACAATAAAAATAATTTTTAACATTAAAAATAATTAAAGTTGAAGATTTTGTTATCAAAAAATTTTAAAGAGTTAAAGTTAATAAAAAAATAAAATAAAAATGTTTATAAATACTGACTTCTAATAATCTAATAATCTTATAATTTTTTTCTAAAAAAATAGTAATGTTTAATAAGCATTAATAATAATTAATTATAATTAATAAGCATTAATTAATAAGCTTTAATTTTATTTATTTTTACTTTATTTTAATTTTATGCTTTATGAAAGTAATGATCTAAAAACAGAAAAAAAAAAAAAAAACTATTTTAAAACCTTAAAACTTAAAAAAAAATTTTAAAACTAACTTTACCTTTCTCTGCTAACTCATTTTCTTTCTTGGTTTCTTCTAATAACCCTTTGATAAAAATGAAAATCAATATACTTATACTATATTATTATTACTAAGAAATTTACAGTGGACCTATATAGGCATTTTGAGTGATTAATTGGAGTTTAGCTCATCGGTTTCTTAGTTGACCATTATTTTAGGAAAAATGATCTTAGGAAAAATGGGATTGGCAAATTATTGTCAACCTCAAACACTTTAAGGTCAGCAGTTAGGTGCATACATACATATATACATACATGCATACATACATACATAAATATATATATATATATATATATATATATATATATATATATATATATATATATATATATATATATATATATATATATATATATATATATATATATATATATAAATATTAAAAAATATATATATATTTAAAAAAAAAACACTATACTCTTTAAATTTGAAACTTTAACAATATAATGGGTAAGCTTTTTCAGACTTGCGTTAAGAGAAACATCTCGAGCGTATAAACAAAGAATTAGTATAGAAAGGGTTAACAATTGAGCATGTTTTAGTGGATCTATTTTACAATTAGTCCATTTATCGTTTACTTTACCTTATCCAATGCCTTTACAATATTCATAAAGAAGTCTTTGATCATGACTAATAGGGTGTCCCAAAAAAATATCATATGTTGAATTTTGATGTGCGGAATACTACATTTGGCATCACTTTGAACATGAAGACGAACAAAAAAAAAAAATGAAGTTTCTAGCTCTAGCAGAAGGTTATTTAGGTCAATTTCCTTTTTTTTATTAATATATAAATTTTTAGATAAAATTGAATTTTATCTTAATATAAAAATAGCAATTGTTACTAAAAACAAAAAGAAAATGTTGGTGCGTGTCAAACAGGTGCGTGCTATGAAATCTTTAATTTCATTGTAAAATAACTAATTAAGTTTAGAGATGAGTTCACTTTTAAATGGGATAAAACAATACATTTAACATCATTTTTGCGAATTAAAGTAAAAACGTCTATATTTTGGCCTTGTAGCGTTATTTAAGTGTGAAAAGTAAAATATAAATCGGAGATTAAGTTTGTCATTTAATTTCAAAAGAAATAAAACAAATAATAATACAAATATAAACCTATTTTTTTACTACAAATGTTACTCAGCTAAATAATAGTATTAAGATCTTTTTTTGTAGCCTTTTTTGATTTCTGTTGCCTGTTTCTCTGGACTACCTAAAAATAATACTATATTAAGTAAATATTATAAATTAACCATTCATATTATTTATTGCTAATAAGTGCCATTATATTTCGTCTATATAACAAATACCTGGAGAATACCCTGAAGCCTATCTTCATTTTGTGTCATCTCAACAAAATCTTGAATCAACTTGATGTGTCGTTCTGCATGGATTTACAACTGCAGGGTATAAATGTACCTTCTGAGCATTTGTGGGAAGTCTATTGGGGGCAAACCTCTGCAAAGGAAACCCAAGCAAATAGAATTATCTTCACTTCCTTGTAATTTTTGACGCATTAACACTATCTGATTTAAGTGAGTTAATTATCTGATTGTCGCGCTCTTTGTCTAGAGGCATTTTCTAAAATCAACTATTTTTCATTTAAAATAAAATCAGAATAGTTGGATACACATTATATTGGACAATTTTTTTATTATTATTTTATTGCCATTGTTTAATTTAAATATTTATTATAAATAAATTTAATATTTTGATAATATAATATTAAATTTATTTTAATTTAATATTAAACGATCCCACATTATTATTTAATAATGATTATTATCAATGAAAAAATAATGACTAAATTTTAAAATCAAGTTTATACCTGAGTTTTAGTAAGCAAAGAGTTTTGGTAAGTAAAGAGTTTAGTTTTTGTTGAAATGCAGTATTCCGCACATTAAAATTCAATATATGATATTTTTTTGAGACACCCTAATGACTAATATCTATTAATATCTTATTTCAAATAAAAATCTCATCTTTCAGTGATAGAAGTTTGAACTGCTTTAAACTCTACTTGTGGTTACCTGTGAATTTCTTCGGAGCATCTACTCCCAAATGGTCCACTAAAATTTTGTGGAACAGTTGTTTTTCCATCTAACTTTTTGAAAAGGGCTTTTAGTGGGAGTTCATTCTGATGAAGGCTACAACCTACTGTGTGAAGTTTACTTCCTATCAACTTTTCTAGAATAACCACCAAGCAACTTCTTCAACCTGTTTTTACTGTAATATGGTCTTAAAGATAAGCATGGATGCTCTCCAGGCTGTCATACTCTTCAAGTACACTAAATGTCTCAAGAGCAAGAACATCTCCAGTAGCACCAACAATTGGTATTGTTCTGTGTGTCAAGTAGATCCTCCGAAATTTGCCATCTTCATGTGCAAAAGGTGATGCTCTGCAGCAACACTTTTTTTAATGAAATTTTTTCCTTCGCAATTATTTGCTTTTAAATACATTTTCGTGTTCTTATCTATCTTTCCATCTAAACCAATGCAAAATAATTGTCTTCTCTTCTGAATTTGCATTTTCCAAAATTACTTTTACTTTTGACTTATCTATATTTAATTTACACTTATCCATTAGGAAAATTATCCATTTATTGATGTCAACTTTGGGTAACAATAAATGATTGATATCATGGAGTAAGGCATTTCCAAGAGCTGCACCGAGATTTGAAGAACATCCGCCTCTGACCAGCTCCATAGCATATCATTGGAAACTTTTGAATACTATAATCTGCCTGAGTTCTCTTACTTGGTTGCCATTAATCATGTTCCTTAAGTAAAAATTTTTAAATATTTATGATGTAAGTATTTTTATTTTTAGTAAGTGTTAAATATATACTAAACAAATTAAAAATTTAAAGTTGCGCAAACAAAAATACCTGAGATTTTATTATTTCAGATATACATTTGGAAAGATTTAGTAATAAACTTGAGAGCTCATTATTAATATGTTTGTGATGCGATATATTTCCGTCCTTTGGTTTAAATCTGTTGTTGTGTTTTAAAGCAGATCTACCAAAGACATCTGAAATAGCCCCTTTAATCTTATTTTTAAATGCTGGTCTCATATAAAAGCTCTTTCTTCTATCAGGAACTTTGCTTCTTTAGGGTATATGCAAATAATGTGTTCCATTTTGCATTTTTCTTTTTTGTACTTAACATAAACAATGTTACTTGACACAATGTCCAATAAACAGCACCTTGTCCCATTTTGCACCCTTCTTGTTAATAGTATTTATACAATTAGTAAAACATGCTTATTGTTCACTTTAATCCAATTGCATTATATCATTCTACTAAAATAACATTTATAAAACTTAAACAAGTTAAACATATAAATCTATAGACTTATGCAAATTAAAAAGTACATTTTAAGAAATAATTATCAGCCGCTTATAAATTTAAATTTTTGGTGTCTTAAATGTTAAAAACAATAAAGAGACTAAAGACTGCAAAACTACAAAGTTAAATATTGTTTACAAACAAAATATAATACACACGTAATTTAAAAAAACAAAGAAAAACAAACTTTAAAAAACAGCGAAAAGTAGTAGTAGTAAGTATATATATATATATATATATATATATATATATATATATATTTATATATATATATATATACCAAAATAGACATAATATATAGAGAGAAGATAAAGATTGTAGAGCAAGATAACGATTGACAGACGACTTAAAAGATTACAAATTATATGAATCAGGAAAACAAGATCAAGGAAGCGAATTCCAAAGAACTGATGTTTGACGAAAAAAACTAGACGAATAATAGTTTTTGGAACACTTAGAAACAGTCACAGAAAAAGATGAGACTTAATTGAATGACGAGTAACACGAAAATAAATTTTAGTAGATGGCACAAGAGACGCTAGCTCTTTAGAGCAGTACCCATTATAGTATTTGTAGAAAAGAGAAAGAGAAGCAACATTACGACGATGTGACAGTTAATCCTAGAAGATAAAGGGTAGATGACTCATAGAGTACATTACCGTTTATAAATATAGAAAGGACTAAGACTAAAAAAAAAAAAAAAAGTTATTGCGATAACAATTAGCTGAAAAAAATTGAGTTTTATCTGAATTAAAGTTCACCAGCCACTGTGAGCCCCACGTTGTAGCAGAATTTTCAAGCTCAAATGCCCCCTCCAAGCAATCAGTGAGAGTTGGCTTCTTATCATGACAAGAATAAATGGTAGTATCATCAACGAACAATGCCACCTTAGATGTGAGAGTATCTGGAAGATCATTAATGTAAATTAAAAAGAGTATAGGGTTAAGGATTGAACCTTGAGGAACCCCTGAGGTTACAGAATAAGAAAAAGAGTGCTGTCCATCAAGGATAACTTTTATAATACGATTGGAAAGGAAGGATTCAATAATCTTAAAGATGTTTCCAGATACAACGTAAGAAGAAAGCTTATGGAGAGGACCAGCATGTCAAACTTTATCAAACGCTTTAGAAATGTCAAAAGCGATGGCCTCAACCTCTCCATCTTTATCTAATGCACCATAAAACCTATCAGTTATTACTGTTAGCAAATCAGCCATAAAACAAGAAGATCGAAATCCATATTGATGATCAGAAAATAAGTTATTAAATTCAAGATGAGAGATTAAGTGTTTGTTAATTCTAGATTCAAAAACTTTGCTTATGATAGAAAGAAGACTAATGAGATGGTAGTTAGATGAGTCAGATTGCTCTCCAGAATTTTTAGGGATAACAGATGGTGGATAATAGGGATAACAGATGGTGCTTTCCAGCAGGCTGGAAAACAAGACTCTGATAAGCACTTATTGAATAGTTTTAAAAGAATAGACATCAGCTCCGGAGAACACTTCTGCAAGACTATAACAAGTATGTTGTCTAGGACATAAGCTGTAGAAGAGTCTAAGCAGGAAATCACTTTAGATACAGAAACTAGAGTGATAGGAATGTCAAGCAATGAATCAACCTGTT